TGATTTTCATCATCAGTTTATTCTTTTATTTCTTCCTTTCTGTTCAATAATGACCTCTTTTTTTGGATTATTTAATACAAAGTTCAGAAGCAAAAAAAAAAAAAAAAAATCTGTGCAACACATTTAATACTTCAAGTGAAGTCAAACCAGGAACATTGGCCAAATAGACAGTTCGTTTAAATGGTGTAACTGTTGAATCATAATGTAAAAAAAAAAAAACAAAATTTCATTTGTTATACCATATATATCGCCGTATCAATGCGCTTGTACTGCTGTTTTTCCGATGTTTTTGCGGGGAGGATGGGAGGGGAAAAGTCCTTTTTTTCTTTTTTTTTTTGACGCCGTCATTTTTAAAAAACCTTTAGATTCTTTTTTTTTTCGTTCTATGCATATTTTTTTCAACAATTCATGTTAACTGCTTTTGGTTGATGATATTTATTGTTGTTTGCTTGGCTTTTTACTGTTGTTGTCGTTGTTGTTGTTGTTGTTTTTACTGTTATTGTTGTTGTTGCTGCCGTTGCCGTTACCATTGCCATTGCTGTTGCTGCTGGTGCTGGTGCTTCTACTGCTGCCATTTTTTTTTTTTTTTTTTTGGTTAGCCTCCTTAAAAGTCAACGAGAGCTATAATAATATATTAGCAAATATAGAAGAAGAGTAAAATAGCGCCGCCGATGAAGACAAATATCAAATACAAAGATTCACACACAGATACGGACACGTATACACACAAACAAACAACAAAAAAAAAAAAAAGAATTTGTTCTTTCAAAGAAGCACATCTGTACCAAAATTTTTTTTTATTGTTTCATATGTGTATATAAATGTGTATAGAAGAGCAGTTTTTGAATACAATGAAAAAATGCTGCAAAGTGTTATCGTCAACAGTTGTTGAACAAGCTAAATACAAACACTACCAACAACATCACTATTACTACTACTACTGCTGCAACTACAAATATCCAACGACTGACGACCACATTAGCATCACCACCATCGCCGGCAACAGCAAAAAATTTTTCATTGTTCATTCCGTAATTTTCACATCTTTGAATATTTTGTAAAATTCCTTTTTTTTTTTTTGATATTTTTTGAAAAAAAGTGCTTTTTTTTTTTGCTTTGCTTTGCTTTGCTTTATTGGTTCAACGCTAACAACGAATTATTTCATTTTGATGTACTGTAGGATTTAAGGAAAAGAAGAAGCAAAAGAAAAAAAACTGTTATACATAATCATTTAACAGTAAATTGAATAAATTAGATGATCCACAAAAAAAAAAAAAAGAAAGAAGTCTATTGAGATCAGTTACACGTGTGTAAATTAATTTTTGAACGTGAACTACACTAAAGACTACAGCTGATATTTGTATAAACTATGAGACATTGTCTTACCTGTATACTTAAAGTCTGACGAGGAAAAAAAAAGTAAAAGAAGAAAAGAAACATGAAAAGAAAAAAAAACAACTGAACTTTATGATAAAAAATGATCCAAAGAAAATAACTATTTTTCTTTTTATGACTACAAGAACAATGGTTCATCAGCGAATATACTGACAAAAATACATGGGCTTTCTCTCTGTTTTTCTGGTAGAGTATAATTTAAAATACAAATTTTTATTTAACCATCTTGAAATTTCTTTGGAAAGACATTTTTGTTAACATTTGTCACCAAGAAAAAAAAAAAACAATGATAAAAACAATCAGAAATTTGTCCTTTCAGATGCTTTCTAATGTGCTCCATTTTGTTACGCTTTTTGTCAATTTTCGAATGCTTTGGTATTTTTTGGTGCTGTTGCCATTTTTTACTGTCGACATTTGTGTAAACCCCCCTCCCCCCCCCCCCCCCCCCC